GGGAGGGGGAGGGACTGTGATCCTGGCCTCATAAAAAAGAGGGAAGAGCTTTTTTATGATTTTTTTAATTGAGATTAAGTGATGACATGAATTTCACACCTTTCACAGTATTGTAAGATAGTGATACTTAGGTAAAGTCACACATCTTAATCTTCATGAGGCAAATTGTCATTATCATGGTCTATAACGTTTGTGAATTCCATGAGCTTTGACAATACAACTATTTCTTCCACATGGGGTGATATGTACGTTTCTTTCCTTTTGCTTAGTGTCATCTGTCCCCTCTTTCCCTCTCATTCCCTCCCTCCCATTGCTGCCCTTGAGTTGCTTAATTCATTTTCATTAATGCCCAGTGAGCTGGTGAGCCCCTGTTGTATGTTTTCCCTTGTTTCCCTCTGATTCTGTGTCCTTTCTAGCTTCCCTCAGATGTGCACATATACCAGGTATATGGTCAAGAACATGGAGTCAGGGCTGGGAAGGTGGCTCAGTGGTAGAGTGCTTGCCTTGCATGCATGAGGCCCTGGGTTCGATTCCTCAGCACCACATAAGCAAAAAGAAAAAAGCCAGAAGTGGCACTGTGGCTCAAGTGGTAGAGTGCTAGCCTTGAGCTGAAGAGCTGAGGGACAGTGCCCAGGCCCAGAGTTCAGGCCCCACGACCGGACCAAAAAAAAAAAGTTTATACAGAGCACAGTATTATCCATCACTTCAGACATCCATGGAACATATTATGTTTGATTAGGGGACCAATGACTGGAACTCAGAATTCAAATGCTCTGATGACTCCTTCCCCAACACACACACACACACACACACACACACAACCTGTATCATGTCACCGACCTTATGATGTAATTCTTAGTGCTTTCATTTCTCTTCTCTCTCAGCTATTTGAGGATGAGGTCCAAGTCTTCATCTAGCCAGTGTTCCAGATGTGAAATAAAAGTTTGGATCACAGAAACCAAAGCGGTTAGTTCCAAGTTTTCCTTTTTTTGTGGTTACTTCCAAGTTTTCCTTTTTTGGCTTAAGGACCAATTCTTCTCTCTCCCAGCCATGTAAATTCCGAGTCCCCCTCTGCCTGCCCCGCCCTCCCAGCCCCCCAACTACTGCCTGATAAATCTAGAGAGTACTGTCGTTTGGTTTTCGGTTTAAAAATATAGATCTCATAAATTACATCTGGTGGCTTTCTAGGCCTTTCCCAGGCCCTCATGGGGCCTTTCCTCCATGAATCTTAAAGAAGGCCTGAAGAAAAGCAGCTCAAGTGGCTGGGAAAAACATCCCTGTGAGTTTCCCCATGGAGAAAAATGATCAAGTGTAATCTGAAGGTGCCCAGGCCAGGGAGCGGTGGCTCTGTGCTGTCCCCTGGTGGCAACATGCTTCATGGCATCCCAGCCTCACCCTTCATCCAATGAGCTCACTGTGCCAGCCAGCAGTGCCCAGCCCAGTGTGCCTGCTAGTATTCATCGGCGTGAGTGGCAGAAGCCAAGACCACAGAGTTGAAATCTTACTTACCTCTACCTGCCTGAGGGCTGCTGGATCTTCTAGTTGTGTGTCTTTGCAACATGCAGTAGCACAAGCTTTGCAGTCAAAAAGCAGATGTGGGAGACACTCTACTCACATATAATCCTAGTAGTGCAAAACATTTATGCCTTAATCCTCATTGGTGAAACTCCAAAGTTTAGCCAGGTACTGGTGATTTATGCTGTAATCCTAGCTAGCTACTCAGCAGGCTGAGATCCGAGGATCAAGGTTCAAATCCAGCCTGGCAGGAAAGTCTGTGAGACTCTTATCTCCAATTAAACACTAAAAAGCAAGAAATGGAGCTGTGGCTCGAGTGGTAGAGTGGTAACCTTGGGCCAAAAAGCTCAGGGACAGAGCCCAGGTCCTGAGTTCAAGCCCCAGGACTTGCATAGAAGAAAGAAAACAAAACAAAACAAAAAACAACTCCAAAGCTTTTGAGAAATATTGTTGCATCTACCAACTGGGACAGTCACCCTTGCCCTGCTCTGAAACTCTCACATGTCAGAGCTGTACAAATGTAAGATCAATTTTAAGGGGGGAAAAAAGGGTTTGGGGAGGTAACTGTGACCCAAAGGTCCAACTCTGACTTAGCTGGAAGAACAAAGAGAGCTAAAAGAGACCATTTTTCCCCTTAGAGAGAGGCCACGTGACCAAGCCTATGCCCCTGCTCCAAAGCCAGTGGAGATCAGAGTAAAAAGAAAAGCCACAGCAGCAGCCCAGGGTGGCAACAATTCTATCAGTAAGAGAAAGAAATAAGGTGTGGTTCTTATACCTGCATTCTTCCTCTTTCAGAGTAAATAGAAACAAACCATCTTTCATTAGGATAAATGTGTCCCACTCAAGGTGGGCAACTGATGTCATTCTGGGGTCTTTTCCCGAGGTTCCCTATGAACACACAAGATGAGATGAGAGAACATGAGCAAAAACCAATTGCTGGTAAGACCTGGACAGTAACAATGTCTCTTGTGCTCACTGCCTCCACTCCACACACCTGCTCTCTTCCCCTCAGGACAAAGGAAGCCTTTGATGGAAGCCTCACTGTGGGCTAATGATCAGGCCCTAAGTGGAAATTCTGAGATCAACAGACTCCAATTCTAGAAATCAAGACTGTGACTAAAGCTTAATGGTCTGGTAAGAACACATTGTCCTCTCTTCTCCCTGCCAGGCCTATAATAGGTTCATACCTGCTTTGCCTAGAAGGCAATGCTATCATTACAGACCACTTTGGGGAAGAGGTGACCCATGGCTCATGGAGAATTCTTTGAATGACAGCCTTCGGGCGATCTGGGCTCCTCACTAGAAACAGTCCCATTTTTAAAGAACCCTACGGAACTCCCTTCATGTGTTGGGTCTCGTAGACTGAAGAAAAGCCTCGCTCCTCCTAGAAAGACTGAAAGGATCGAGACCCCCTAATGTGAAGTAACAGACACCCTGTCCTTAAATATCAATTCACTCTCTTCCAACAACGCTCCTGTCCCAGGAGTTGGAGAAGAACTTTAATCAGGGAGACTTCTCCCTTAGTTGAGCTTTTAGGAAACAGAGAAGTTGACATGAAATATTAGGGACTAAAGACAGTATTTAGTTCGAGTGCCGGTGGCTCACGCCTGTAATCGCAGCTACTTAGGAGGTTGAGATCTGAGGATCATGGTTTAAAGCCAGCCCAGGCAGAAAAAAAGTCTGTAAGACTCTTATTTCCAGTAAACAACTCAGAAAAAGCTGGAAGGTGACTCAAGTGATAGAGTACTAGCCTTGAGCACAAAGAAGCTCAAGGACAGAGCCCAAGCTCTGAGCTCAAGACTAAAAAGAAAAAGAAAAAAGAAAGCATTTGGAAAACAAATCAGGAAACAAAAATTCCACCTAAACTCCAACCAAAACCTTCTTGTGTCATGTTTCGCATCCTGTCTCAATGCTAAGTTCAAACATATGAAACGGGAGAAAAGACCATCTGTGAGCTGGGATGGACCTTCTGCTCATCGGGTGGCATGAGGGACCCTGGGACTCCCAGTCCACAAAGGGCTGGGAGAAGGTTGAAGGTCTGGGGACACAGCACTGGGCCAGAGAACGTACCCTTCTGTACTGTCCTAGAACTAAACTTGCCTCCCTCCCACCTGCAGCTGGATGGTGCCGGGACCACAGCAATATGTCTGCTTTCTTCCATTCTCATCTCCCAGGTAACCGGTGAAGGGTTAGCATTCAATAAGTAAGAGCCAAATGTAAACAAAGCTAGGGATGTGCTTAAATAAGAAAGAAGAAAAGACAATCATAAACTTTTATGACTTCACATGCCTTTCACATTCTGAAAGTAAAAACTTATTGAATGAATCAACCTTTAGAACAAAACAAAACTGCTGGGTGTCGATGGCTCATGTCTATAATCCTAGCTACTCAGGAGGCTGAGATCTGAGGATCTAGGTTCAAAGCCAGCCCAGGCAAAAAAGTCCCCATGAGACTCTAATCTCCAATTAACCACTCAAAAATGGGAAGCAGAGCTGTGGCTCCAAGTGGGAGAGTGCTAGCCTAGAGCAAAACTGCTCAGGGGCAGCACCCAGGCCCCCATTCAAGCCCCATCTCTCACACATGCACACGCACGCGCGCGCGCGCGCACGCGCACACACACACACACACACACACACACACACACACACACACACACACACACACACACACACACACAAACTTGTTGGGACCAAACTACTGCCTTTAAAAACATCAGTCCTTTTACTCACCGGTCTGAGCCATGGATAAAGTGCGTGCCGGTTGTTATGGCAGACTCAGAAGGGAGGAGAGGCACACTGAAGTTGGCCTGGCCTGCAGTCAGGGCTGCTGCACTGCTCACCAGAGCCAGAGTGAGCGGAGGCCTGCCCACCTCAGGCCCTGGACAGCAGGAGGCAACCTGAGCAGCAGTCTGGAGTTTTTCCAGCCTTCCTCTGCTCTCCCTCAAGCATTTCTCACTTGAAGACATGGGTGGAGAGGGGACAGATGGAAAGGAGGGAGGATGGTGGAAGGAAGGACTCTGAGATGCAGGTGAGGATGGAAACCTCTTTGTGCAACTATCTGAAGATAATTTAAAACAAATAAAAAAGGAAACAAAGGGGCTGGGAAGGTGGCTCAGTGGTAAAGCGCTTGCCTTGCATGCATGAGGCCCTGGGTTTGATTCCTCAGCACCACATACGCTGAAAAAACCAGAAGTGGCGCTGTGGCTCAAGTGGAAGAGCGCTAGCCTTGAGCTGAAGAGCTGAGAGACAGCGCCCAGGCCCAGAGTTCAGGCCCCACAACCGACAAAACAACAATAACAACAACAACAACAAAAACCCTGCTATCACTATCAAGACTTAAGAGAGAGCCCTGGCGCTAAACCCGCAGCCCTGGCACCTCCCTCATGCTCCTCCAGCAGCTGGGAACTTGAACAGAGAAGCCCGGCCTCCCTGGCCCTCACATTGCCCTTCAAATGATGACACACACGGGCCTCCTGGCTGTTTGTATAGAACTTTTATAAATGGCTGCTACCCCACAGGGAAGGTCCAAAGAGAACGACAAAACTAGGAGAGAACGGTTTGTCTGAAGTCCACCTGGTCCTGTGCACTGAGGCTGAGTTCTCGTTCAAGGCTCAGGCGGGCCAGCCTGGGTGCGGAGGGCCCGGCCAGGTCGTCCTACCTCCCCTCTGGGGGTCTAAGCTGCAGCTCGCGTTCCAACTGCTCTGCAGTCAGGGTGCCCTGGATGGCCTCGCAGCCCGGGTTGAACACGGAGTAAGCGCTCTTCTCCCCTTCCTGCTTCTCCCCAGGGCCTCTCGTCCCCACGTACATCCAGTAGAACAAGGACAGGACGAAATAAACCAGGCCGAATTCCAGTTCCACAAACAATCCCAGCAGGACCAACCAGAGGAGAACCTTCAAGAAGGTGACGTTGATCAGGAAAGACTGCTGACCGCTGGAGGGTGGAGGAATGGCCGGGTTCCTGGGGGGCCGTGGCGGGCTGCTAGCAGGCCCAGCGGTTCCCTGGGATACACAAGCAAACAGAAGTAAGAATAAAAGGGCAATGGAGCCAGGAGGATCAAAACTAATCTAAGCAGGCAGTCCTTGTGGCCCTAGGAAGACTGCAGCTCATTGATTTCTATTTTCTTGTCCTCCATTTTAAAATCCGTCACAGCCAGAGAGCTTAAGTGCCCTGCCCTAACCCAAGCAAATCTCATCAACACTTAGCAAGAAGTGACCCAATAAAAACCCTGCAGCTCCCGCACGGGCTCCATTCATGGAGTCATTGCTTCAGATTAGTCTGCTGCTCAGAGAGGCTCATTCGCACACCACATAGAATCTGCCCCGGGATTGCTAATGCAATCGCCAGCCAGTCACCGTCAACATACCGTTAGCTGATCCCATTAGATGGGCTAAACTATGATGAGTGGCTTGATTCTAAAATAAACGTCTATGCCCCACACAGGAAACACAAACCCTTTCATGTATGAAAGCATCACTGTCATGGCCATTACCGGCCATTATGGCCATTACCATTCTACCCTACCACCGTGCTCTGGGGCCCACAACACTCAGCCCAAGTCTGGGCCTGTCTCCTAACTAGACTCAATCTCCTCTTGCTCCTCTCTCCAAACTGACCCATTGGCAAGTGAATTTGCTAACTGGGTTACCACCTCCGCCCACAAACCTTCCACACAGGCCAAGGCCCCTAGATGCAGTCAAGGGAAACACAAGCACGCAGGCTAGAGGCTAACGGGCAGCAAGGCTGAACAGCAGCTTTAGGAAGCATCAGCTCCACATCAGTGCTTCCTGAAAGTTTGGGGACACCACCCACAATAAGAAATGCATCTTACACTGTGGCCCAGGTATACACTTGAAGTCATACCAATTTCACAGGACAGCACCTGCCCTCCCTGAGAAGCCCCGGGGTCTCCTACCTATTCTGTTTTTTTGTCAGTCATGGGGCTTGAACTCTGGGCCTGGGCGCTGTCCCTCAGCTCTTCAGCTCAAGGCAAGCGCTCTACCAATTGAGCCACAGCGCCACTTCCAGTTTTCTGGTGGTTTATTGGAGATAAGAGTCTCAAGCCGGGGCTGGGAAGGTGGCTCAGTGGTAGAGCGCTTGCCTTGCATGCATGAGGCCCTGGGTTCAATTCCTCAGCACCACATAAGCAAAAAGA